CGGCGATTTTCTGCCTTGGAAGCGGCGTGTTTACATTTATAACCCTGCAAACGCCAGTGTGTAAATAAGACCCCTGCCCCTGCGCGGAGCCTCGCTGACCAGAGCGGCAGAGGCGTCGCGGCAGGGCGCCGCCAGTCAGCTGAAGCTCCTTTGCATTAAAACCAGAGTTTTAATACTAAGAAGCTAATAAAACGTTTTAATAAAAACATTTCCCATAAACACATGAGTAAGTGCTTCCCCGTGCACTCACACTATTCACATGCTCGTTCTCTAAGGGCCTAGGTCAATGTTTTGAGCTGGTTGTAATAGGTGTGTAATGCTTAAACATTTGTAGCTCAGAAGATGAGGTGGATGTGCTCTTACACGGCACTCCTGACCAGAAGCGGAAACTGATACGGGAGTGTCTGACTGGGGAGAGCGAGTCTTCCAGTGACGATGAGTTCCAAAAGGAGATGGAAGCGGAACTGAACACCACCATGAGGACTATGGAAGGCAAATGGAAATCACCAGAAACGGGTAAATCACACTTAACATCTGCTTGCATGTGAAAGCGTGAGTTAAGAGTGTGAATTAAGGGGTGTCCAGTTAAAGTGTGAAGTTGATGTGGTGGTTTTGTGGCTAGAGGTGTGTGTAGTGACAGTCGAGTGCCATTTGAAGCCTACAGAAAATCCTAAAACGGCCAATTGCTTTTGGAGAAATGGTCACCAGGTGCCACTTGAGTGGATGCCTCTGTTTCATCTTTTCTAAGACTTTGATTTTGGTGTTTCTGAACTTCTGATTTCCTGCTTTAATGTGACTTCTTTTTGTTGGATCATTCCCCTTTTTTCCATTATCTCTATAATTTCTGGTTGAAGTTGTTCTTTCACATGTATTTAGAAGTCCCTTGAGCCGGTTGCAGTCTCTTTATCTACTGACTCTGGATGCTGTCAGCATCTGGAGACCTTTCTTGAAGAAAGGAGTAGCATATGGTAGATTGAGATCCCCAGTCAGTTGGAGGAAAAAGTCAGGAAAAATACTAATCTCTTCCTCCCTTATCTGTTTACAGTTACATGTTACATCACATAGTAAAACTGTACTAAAGATATATAGTCTTCTGCTGTCTCTCTGCTATGGGTGCAAGAGATGGATTGCTTTGGCGTTTGAAGAGGATGTGTTGTTTTTACCTATTGCAGGACACCTAGTAAAGTGTTCTTAATTTCCTGGAGAATCAACATAGTCTTCCCTTTAATGTAGGGATTTGACTCTGCATTCAGCAG